CCTTAAACTGAACTTTTCCCTTTAAACAGGATTAGGGTTTTAAACCCTAAACGGAACGTTTCCTTAATCAGCATTAGGGTTTCAACTCTAAACTGAGCTTCTCACCAGCTAGTCAGCATTAGGGCTCCAACCCTGAACTGAACTATTTCCTTTCCGCTAGCCTTAGGGCTCCAACCCTAAACTGAATATTCTTACATGGCGGCGATATCATCGATCTAATTCCTTCATCAATTCTATGAACTTCCTGGCAAATAACTCACGAAATTTCCCTAAGTGAAACTGGGGCAGAAAATTTCATTCGTTTGTTTTTCCTCGCAGGTCTGACCTCGAGCCACACGGATCGAAACGACCCACGAGATGAGTCTCAACTCAGAATCAAAGAAGAAAAAGACAAAAAGAAGATGTGCCAAGACATCCGGATAAAATGGAAGGCAGATCGCTCCAAGATTTGATCATGGTCCCGAACTCTGCCAATAACGTCTCACTCAGTATCCCAGAGATAAACAAGCACCTACAACTCGCAAGCATCAAGATTCGGATCGAAGTCTCCAAGCAAAATCAGCTAAGACCCAAGATCGAGTTGCAAAAGAATCATAGATAGGAATCTTGTAACTAGCAGTTGACATGCATATAAGTATTTAGTTCAGTTTTAATTTTTCTTTGGTTGTAATAAGGCGGTCAGTAAAGCAACAATGACAACAGCAACAATAGTAACAGCAAGCATTGCAATCCCATGGTAGTCCCAGCTGCCAAAACTTTCCGAACTACATTGACCTGATTCCTGTTTAGCCCAGGATATGTAGGAAATCTTTGAAGCAAGATTCGGTCAAATCTTTCAAAACATGCTTCATACGGAGTAGTCCAATAGGCAAAAGTCGCTCATATCTTCTCACTTTATCTTTGCACGAAAACTCTTCGCGTTTCCGAACAAAGAGGGGCAGCTGTGAGCACGTGATTTTTGTTTTACGCGACAATCACTCCAAAAGAAATAAAAATAATAACAAATGGTCTTGCTGTACAATTTTTGGATTTTTTACGTGGCATTTCGTTAAGTTATTTGTGATTTTGTTCATTTTTTATTTTTTATCAAACAAAATACAAAAAATGTGTGTGTCATGTGTAGTTGAACCATAGTCTGGTTATCAAAAGGAAAATCACGAAATATGCACGTTTTGTCCTATTCGTCGGCTTGGTGATTTTACCTATTTTTAATATTTTTGATGTGTGTGTAAATAATTGTATTAAGTGTTTAATTAGTGGAGTTTAATTTTGTTTAATTAGGTTTAGTTTTAAAATAAAAACAAATAATAATAAAAGAAAAAGAGTACAAAATTGGCCTGAAATCAAGTTTGGGCCTGTTCCCATTTAAAATCTGAGGCCCAAATCGAGACCAAAACTTGTGCTTGCCCCGGTCCAGACCAGCTGACCTCAGGAGTGTCAAAACGACGTAGTTTTGATCTGGTCTGATCTGGGCCGTTGATCTCAGAATTATCAACAGCCAAGATCACATTCCCCATACCCACGAACAAACCCGACACGTTCAACCCCGGACCGACCCCAACCCCTTGCACTTGAAACGACACCGTTTCCCACTAGCTGAAAGATCCTGGCCCTTCATCTCGTCTCATCCGACGGCCAGCATTACCCACTAACTATATAAGCCTACAACCATACCCTACGCCCCATCCAAACACCCCCTACCTTCTATCGTCCTCACCACAGACCCCTTGGAACCCTAGCCGCCCCCTTTCCCTTCACCATTAATCCCGGCGGCATGGACGCCGGTCACCCCCACCTTAACACCATAGATGCACCTCACCATCCTGAACCCAAATCCACCAACCACTTAGCTCGAATCCCCTCCCACCTTCTCGAATCTTCATTTGAAGATTCGAGTCAGAACCTGACTTACACCGATTGACCCCAGCTTCACACCATACAGTCCCCGGACCTCACTCGTGACCAAACCATGCTTGGTTTGGTCCAAATCTAACCAGAGAAACATAAATCCCAGATCTGCTTTTAGGAGCCCTAGGGTTCCTCGTGACTGATCTGTGTCTGTTTGAGCCAAGTGATTAGGGTCTAATGGACCTTAATCGAAGTGTTTCTCATTTGAGAACACTTCGATTAAAGTCCGTTCAACCCTAAGAAAGATCAATTCGAATCCGAGCTAGGGTTTGCTGATTTTTCAAGATTTCAGGTATTTCTGTTTTTCTTTTCTATCAGTTCATGAGTCTTGTTATAATTGAATGTTTGTTTATTGCCGCAAAATATTAGTTCATTTTATTTCTGAATTGTTGGTCGACTGTGTCCTGTCCACCTTGCCTGGACCTCTCTGTTTGATCGAGTCTTTCTTTCATTTACTGATAATATGTGTATGTGTAAGTTGTACAATCAGCCGAGTTTGGAATGAGTCGATTAATTAGTTCCCAGGTTCATTTTTGTATTAACAGTGCAATCTGAACCCTTTGCTGATACTGTTAGATTTCTGATCATTAGCTTCGACTGTATGTGTTACCTTTAGTATAGTCGAGTCGATACACATCGTCAATAAGTTCAAAGCTTTAAATGATAATAATTTGATTGGTTTTTCTGCTGAAGTCCTACTTAAATCAAATTAGGAATTGAGCATAACTACTTATAATTGTTGTATTTGAATCAGAAATTTAAGGGTCTGGTCTGTAACTGCAGTCTGAATTGGGGGGCATGTGCACTTGTGCACAACATGTGCATTAAAGGCCTTTGTTAAGATTAAAATAGTTTGACAGCATATGCTGTCAGATTGTATTCTTGCTGCCCATGTCTGATTTCAGTTTAATAAACCAATTAAAAGGACTGTCAGGGAATATCATGGGGGGTTTCCTAATTTTAAATGTTTGAGTGGGAAAAACAGCTGAAAAGGAATAGGTTCTGAGTTGTTTAACAAGCTGTGAAAGCTGATGTTAGGCTATAAGAACAGGCAGAAGTTCCATTAGACGGGGGACGGAAGGAGGAAAAGAAAAGAATCAGACTGAATTTTTGAGAAGAAACTCAGACAGATTAGAGGGGACTGAAATTGGGAACTAAAAGGAGAACTGATTTTGGAGATCTAGGAACTGGATTTTTAGACTGAAAGATTAGAGGTTGGAGGAGAAAATAGAGAGGCACATACAGATACACATTGAGAGATAAAAGACACAGAAACAAAAAATCAGAAACTTTTCCCTATTGTTGTTGGATTTCACTTGTTTCCAACCTGTTCAATCAATTCTGATCCTCCCAAGTCTTAACTAAGTTTACTGGTTGTGGGTTGCATTGGTTTATGTCTTGAATTTGGTCTATCTGAAGTTTGATTCTACCCCACTGTGTGCTGCTATCATTTGGCTATTTTTCCATCGGCTCTAGTTGCATCTTGCACTGGGATTTGTTCTGTTACTATCTGTTGTTACTGCTGCTGTTTGGTGTATGCTACTATTGCTCTACTGACTTCCCCGCTTCTTCGTTGTAAGCATTTTCAGGTACACATTTCAAGCCCTCATATTGGTGTAACTGGTTGTAACAATGAAAAGCATGAATTGAAAAGTCTGAAGGAATTATAATCATCTGTTTGTTCTACTTACAGCCCTTTATAAATGTTGTTAAGTTATGTAAACTTTAGTCTGTAGTTCAATAGAGAATGTATTAGTAAGTTTGTACTTAGTCGAAGCTTATATGGATCTAAAACCTCGATAGGTGATTCGTTTAGAGGTATACGGGAGGTGACTATATAATTCATGTAATGTGTAACCATTTAATGTAATCATTAATTCGAACTTTCCTTTAGTTGTATTGAGCATGTTAGGGCGAATTGGTTTTCCAAAATATTGTCGCAGACAACACAGTCTTAAATATGGGAGTTTCGATTTCGGTAGGNCTTAAATCTGGGAGTTTCGATTTCGGTAGGCAATTCTTTTTTTAGGATGAGTTCCGAATATTGTTAGTAGCACCATATAATGAGTAACTTTATTAATCCTGTTTAAATAAGTTTTGAAGTTAACTCGAGGAGTATTTGGGGTTTAAGTGTAGCGTTTCGTCAATCTCGTATATAATTCTTCTATCAAATTAAAAGCATGTTCCATGAGGTATAACGCTTCTTCCCCTTGTAAATAATTAATCAGATGATTAATAAGAATCCGGATTTGGCCAAAGCATATAATTGAATTAGCATGTATCTTTTCTTCTATTTTAGAGACAAACACATTAGAAATGTAGTCGCTTTAGGATATCCTTTCTAAAATACTGAGACGAGCCTCACCAAATTAAAAATGCAAATTGCGGGGCCCTCAATAATTACCTTAATAAATACTTATAATTTGGGATGGACTGTTCAGCGAATTTCGCAGCCTTCCTCAAAGATAATAACGCGTTAGACTCTTTAGGCGCGATTTTAATTAAATTACATTCTTAAATTCGGGTGCGCATTTATGTGACCCAAATCCAAATCTCAAAGGAGTCAGAATGTATTAACAACCACGGGTGCATTGATTGCGACGGGGTTCGAGATGCATTTTCACGACGTTGCAATTCTATTAAAAAATAATAATAAAAGCGGTTTAAACTTAATAAAAGCACACAAGTTATAACATGTATTAAAATCAAATATTTAGCCATTATAACAATTTAAGCGACTGTGCTAGAACCACAGGATTCGAGGGTGCCTAACACCTTCCCTCGGGTCAACAGAATTCCTTACTTAGAATTTCTGGTTCGCAGACTTCATTTGGAAAATCGAATATTTTCCTCGATTTGGGATTCAAGATAAACCGGTGACTTGGGACACCAAAAGCCAAACCTTTCCCAAGTGGCGACTCTGAATTAAATAAATAATCTCATTTCGAATATTGTCACTTAAATTGGAAAAACTCCCGCGCATTTTAACCCTTCGGGGTCGGGCGCGCAAAAAGGAAGTGTGACAATAATTATATCCTAAACTAAATAACTTGATTGCATAAATATTCTTTATAACGTCAATACATACAAACTTAAACTCGTAAATTCTCTTTGCTGCTTCTATTGGATAGAGCTTTGGTGATAAAATGACTAATAACTCCAATGGGGCAAGACATCAAGCACAGTGACACAGAATGGCGGGTCTCGACACAATTCTGCAATCCATCAAGATAAACCATCCTGTTTCAAAAAAAATAAAATAATAATAATTAAGAGTTTTAACGGGGCATCCCATCTCCAAAATAAACAAACAAATAAATAAATAACCAAAACAAAGAAGAGAAAATGGGGTAAGAGTAAACACACACAAACACAGAGATACAAGATGACAATTTGAGCCCAAACTCATCTAACCTGTCTAGAGATTAATGGGTTGAGTTACAAACATTTTAGCTCTTGGGTCCATTTGGGCTGAGTGCAAGTTAACTCATTATATTTTATAGCCAATTCTGACTCATTAAGCAGCCCAAATACAACTCTTGAAACTCACCCAAAACAAAAGGTATCTCAAGTCAACTTATATAAAAACTTATTTAGTTGCCCCAATTTTACTTTTTTTTTTTGTATTTTTAATTTTATGTTCTTTTGTTTTTCTGTGTCATCCACCCACCCTGCCCTACCTCCCCTCCCCACCTCCCGCGCAAAATCCCTCCTCTAAAAAAATATTTTTTTTGTATTTTAAATTTTCTATTTTTTTTTCCTGCACCACACACCCTAACCCCCACCCCAAGCAAAACCCCCCTCCCCTAAAAAAATTTACTTTTTTTTTATTTTGTATTTTCAGTTTTTTATTTTTTTTTCTGCACCCCTCACCCTGCCCTCCCCTCAAAAAAAAAATTTTACTTTTTTTTGTATTTTTAATTTTCTGTTTTTTTTTTGCACCACCCCTCCCCCCCGGGCAAACCCCTAAAAAAAATTTTACTTTTTTTTTTAATTCTCTATTTTCTGTTTTTTCGTTTTTCTGCATCACTCACCCGCCCCAACCTCCCCACCCCCAAAAACTTTTTCAACTTACACATTTTTAGGTAAAAGGCTTTTTTTATGCAAGATTAACATGGTCTAAAACATGGGTCAAGCTGGGCGGGTTGGGTTATGACCCATTGTTTTAACCCATCTTGACCCAGCCCATCTTAGCCCAAGTACACTTTGGGTTGGGTTGGACAATGACCCATTTATTGACCTAACCCATCTTGACCCGCTCAAATTCAGCCCAACCCGCCCATTTGTCACCCCTAAATACAACAAACAACAATAACAACAACAATAAACCCAGTGTAGTTCCACAAGTGGGGGCTGGGGAAGGTACAGTGTACGCAAACTTTACCCCTGCCTTTAAAAAGACAGAGAAGTTGTTTCAGGTAGACTCTCGACTCAAGAAGGAAAAAGAAACTCAGAGATACCAACCTTGCAGCAAAAAGATCCATAACCAAAATGTGAATCCAAGCAGAAGCTAATGACATCTCCCTAGAGAACAACTGAGTTATACCAGCTTGCTGAATGAGAACAAAATATTGTTAGAACCGCCAATAGTGTAATCAGTACAAACTATTACTTTATCCACTTCATTTTTATATGACAATGTTTAATTAGCACTATCAAAAAATAAGCCTATTGCATCGCTTTTTTTTGTAACGGGTTTACAACTATTGCGATAGCATGTCTATTGCAACGGTTATACGTGTTACAGTATACTTTAAGCCCTATTGAAACACTTCTAAAATAGAACTGTCGCGATAGTTCATTAACTGTTGCCACAGATGTGTCTACTGTAAAGGTTGCAGTAACCGTTGTAATAGATCTCTTTGCAGCGACGGTTTCCCTAAAAAAATTAGTATATTAGGATGCTTTTCATTTCCCTCCTTATTTTTCCTCTTATAATTTTCTTAACCCTAGCCTAGGTCCATCCGAACTTTTAAAAAAGTAAAGAACAATAAAACCTCCTCTAATTTTCCAAAGTCATTCTTGCCTAAAAGACATCGAACCCCTAGTTCTCTATTCCTAAAGTATTGTCCAAAAGATCCGGCGAACTAGTCCCAATAGCTCTAGCGATGGCGACATCTCCAGCAAGGGCGCAAGGCCACATCTCTGGCAAAGCACACGCCTTTCTAAAGCTTCCTCTCGTTGATGTTGGCCACAAACCCTAACCAAAGTCACTGAATTCGGCAAATAGAGAAGACACCGAGTCAAGAAAACACCTTTGCCACTTCTCTAAAGCTTCCTCCTCACGGTCAACAATGGGATCTTGTTAGAGCCGGACAAATGGAGAAAACCCAGTAGGAATTGCTTCTTAGATCGTCTGTAAAACCCTCGTCACTAGGACTTAGGGTACCAAGGTATTTTTCTCTATTCTTCATTGTTATTTTCTCTACGTCATTTTTGACTTTGTAGATCTTTGTACCTTGTGCTTGGTGTTTAGATTTCTCATTTGCCTAAGGTATTTTGTGTTTCTTCAATTACTGATAACCTTTGTTGGAAACTTTTTGAAGTGAAATCTTCAATTTATGCTATATATATTTTCAGTTCTTTATGATTTGTTTGTTTTATCCTTTTTGTTTGGAGGGCAGAGATATTGCGGAATTGAATGCTTATGGTTCATATCTCGTACCATTTCATTTGAACAATATTTTTGAGTCTAATGACAGAATATTGTGCAAGGACCTCAATAGCATAGCAGCAAGAACAAATATCAAATTCAGTAAATTATTTTTTCTAAAGAGAAATAACTGAATATATGTCCTGTTTCGTTTTGTTTTTGCTAAAGATTTACATTTTATCTTTATTTTTCATTCTTTTTGGTTCAGATTCCCTTTAGTAGAAGAGGCACCTCAGGTAATTTATGAATCTAAAGATATGAGATGATATAGGAATTGATTTAAGTCAAGTAGACAAAAGGCCCTTTAAATATCTCAAGCTCTCACATATAGAGACTTCTAAGTGTAAAGTATCTATTTACATGCACGAATAACTTTATTCTTTATTTAACTTTGTGTAGCAGTTAAGATTGAATTGTCAGTCATGCATATTTTGTATAGGAAAAACATAATAAGGCTTCTAGATTTCTAATGATAAAATAGACAATGTTTTTCAATTATTTAAATTTATGTCAACTTCTCCTATATAATTCATGCATCATTTTCTGTGTTTAAAAAAAACAAGAATCGGATGCTAAAAGAAAACTAAAAATATGGAACCAATACACCTCTTTTGCAAGTTTATATTCCACTGTTGTTAATTCTAGCACAAGTATTAAACTGTGAAGTAGGTGAAACTGTGATTTATTATGGACAAAATGGTCATGAAGGGACATATGTTTGCTCTATCATATTTTATTTGTTGCTCTAAGAATATATGTCAATTCATAAAATACTTCTCAGTTGTTTTCAAATTTTTTGAGCTGAATGTTACTTTTTGCTTTTGCTTTAACATAGGAATGGTATATCTGATTTGTGGAAATTAATATGGGACTAGGCCAAGCAGTAACATATCAAGAGTACTAGAGGACTGTTAGTTATAAAGATAGTCATCCTGGATCAAGGGATCTCTAATTTTGGAATCTCTTTGCTCATTTTGAATTTTGAACCTCAAATTTTATAACCAATATTGTATATGTTCTACATTTTCTAAAGTAGTAGCTCTGCTTGACTCAAAATTATTTTATATATTCTCTCTTTTGCTTGATCAAGAAATATTTAAATGTTATTGCTAATAAGAAAGAGTCTTCTATGGTCAGTTTAAGCAACTACTTAATGCTGAATTTCCATTCTCCAGGCTTGCCAAGGAAATTATCAGTAACTACGTACTCTTCTGGAAAGAACAAATATCTCTTTCAAGTGCTCCAATGATGAACTTTCAAATAACTCTTTCTACTGAGTGTGTTTGAAGTGGAATAAAGTACATGTGTCAATCTGTCCAAAACCTTTATTTTTTAATTTAGTTAGAGACACATAATTTGATTATTTAGTGTCTGATAGCATCTATACATTTGATAAATATCCATAATTGTTTCCTTGTTCATAATTGAATCGTTCACACTTTGCAGTATATACCTGTGATTCCGTGAGGGATAGAATTGACTTCAATTGACAGGTACTGGATGGACTCTATAGTTTTGCAGTAGGTATTTGACGTCATCTCATTAACGCATTACTATTTCTTGCTTGACGGATTAGCTTTGGTAATATTATCAACAAAGCAAGTCCCTCAGCCATCCATCCGTGAAAAGATGTCCTTTGATGCACAAGACTTGATTGACAGGTTAGTTAATACCATTTTTAATATTATATATGATCCATCCTCTTAGAATAAATTTCACTAGTAATTTAGCATTCTTTAAAAGGATTATAAAATGATCATGTCCAAATTACTTTGTAAGATATTTTCATAGACTGGTTTGGTGGTCCTAATCTTTTGGAGCATGCTTGGTGTGGATCCGTACATTCATAATATAATTTGAGGGACTACTCTCTTTTCTCTAGGCTTAGTTTAGTAGTATGTTAAAGTTCGTTGATATTCAAATGTAATAGCTGTGTTTACTGAACATATTCATATGGTGGCAGAAGAAAATACAATATACATAATTCATCAGATATCTTCCATGTAATATGTAGGTTCTGACATAAATATTTATATTGCATCATCAATTTTAATTGAAAAAAGTTTTAAGAATGTAAACAAATCATACATCTAGCAGTATTATTTTTTTTGTGCAGTTAAGTTGAAAATCTTTGTGGTTTCTGGAGTTTTAAATGTGCAATTATGCCAAATTATTTTGCAATGGTTTTCATGTGCACTTCGTTAGATTTTTCCTCTCTAGTTAAGCTTGAAATTTTCTACAGTATTCGTTTGTATTATGTTGCAGTTAAAGATTAAAACTTTATGCAGTAATTTTTTCCAGTGGTTTCTTTTTTTCCCCCAGTTAAGCAAGGAGATCAAGGTGAGAGTTGAATAATAACACTTGCGTGATTTTGAAGGTAATTGTCTTATATGGATCGATTATCTAGTAATTGCACTGAGTGTTTAATTGTGTGTCTATAATAGTTCAATCATCCAACATGATTTACCTTATTTGGAAACTTTTTGGAATTTGAACTTTTGGCAATTGACAAGTTTGTTTATGCAGTGCTGATTTTTGTTTATTTATTTTTCGGGTTTTGATTATACCAACATGATAAGATATCTCAATTAAGAATGAACTACTAGTAAAGATAAAATAAGATATCCTTGTGTTATTTGGTTGATGAATATCATATTACTAGAGTTAGTGAATGTTTCATCAAGATTGACGTTTTAAATTGCTAGAAACTTTAAAGTTAAAAAAATATCTTTAATTAAAGGAGATTTGCTGTTTGGTGAAATGACAATAAGGTATGACAATAAGTTTTTTTATTTTATTTTCAATGAGATTTATTTTTATTTCTTGGAGTTTTTGAAGATGTTTGTTATAATAGCTAAAGTGATGTCTGTTGGTGCATGTTAGTAGGAACTGTGTTTCTGCTTGCTCGTACTTTTTGTATTTGACTTTAGTAGAATATGAGGTTGTTGCCTTATGAAGTTTCGTACTTTTGTATTTGACTGGTTATTCTAAGTTATAAAGTTCCGTCCTTTTTCTTATGATACTTTTCCTCTATAGTTAGTATTGGCACATGAGACTTATACTCTGTAAATTGAACTTATGGATACTACTTTGATGGTAGTCGCTAGTTGTATGCTTATCTTCTGGCTTCTGTATAGTTAGATTGATCAAATTATACTCTAGGTTAAGATTTCATATATCGCTTCTTTTTCCATGTGAGTTCTTTTTTGATTAATTGTTATATAACCAAATATGATATAGATTGTTTTGTTTTTATTATGATTTTGTAAGTGAAGAAAATGAACAAAGGATAGACAAAAGGCAGTCAATACCTTAAGATTATTAGTTGATAGTTGCAAGATCTTTAGATGTTCTAAGAATTTTTTATTTTAGAAGTTTTTGCAAACTTATGTATGGTAACTCTTGAATTTATCAAATAATATTCTCTTTTTTGCTTTATACTCTATGAATAGTGCTAGTTGGATAATTTGATTTGTGACTTTGCTATTTAATAGTTTCTTCGGTGATTTGTATCAATTTCAGTATAATATTTTATTATTCATGTAATAACAAACCACTAAAAAATCCGTTGCAATAGCTAAAAAATCCGTATTGTGATATGCAATCAAAAAGCGTTGCAATCGCCTCAACAGTCGTTGCAATAATGATATTTGCAACGGTTTGGGACCGTTCCATTTGCTAAGATAACCGTTGCAATCTATAGGTTTATGGCAACGGTTACAAACCGTGGCATTACATACACCTATTGCAACGACACTTCAACCGTTGCAAGAAACCATTGCCGTAGACCTATTGGCACGCGACCTAATGTGACGGGTACTTAACCGTTCTAATAGAGCTATTGCAACGGTTTTTCTACCTATTGCAACGGATTTTGAACAGTTGCAGTAGAACTATTTCCTAGTAGTGTAGGCACAAGGAGGGTGTGTTTGATAGAGGAAAAATGACTTCCAGGAAAATATTCTTCATGTTGAGAAAGTTATTTGTGAGTGTTTGGTATGACAAAAAATCATTTTTTATGAAAAGAAGAAAAAATGATGTTATCTTCACTTATGACGAAAGTTATTTTCATTATAACTATCTTAACTTTTAACTTCATATAGTTACTTCAACTAACATATAGACATTATAATTATTCTCCAGAGCTCAAAAGTTTCGTCAAAATATTTTCTAATTTGTTGATATTATTATTAAACTTAACATATAGTTTTAGTGGAATACATTTTTTACTCATCAACCAAACAACAAAAAATATTTTCAAGAAATATATTTTCCATGAAAAGTGACTTTAATAATATCAAATATCCGGAGGTTAAGAAAGAAGAAGAAAAAGGCTTATAACATACCAAAGACGCTTAAACTTATGGTTTTGAATACGTCATAATAAATTTTTATACTTGTAAGAGCATGTCATTAAGGATAAACTAGAAAATTTAAAAATTAAAGTGTTTTCAAATATAGCGAAATATCTTTTTTCCGGAAACAAAAAAAAAGCAGTGTAATTAATAATAATTGGAACAAGAGCGTAGTTGAGTTGAGCACATACATCTGGAATCAGATCTTGATAATGAAATAATAGCTGAAGCGTATCTGGTCTCCAGGAAAGGACCAAGATATATGAGTACAGAAGTCCAAGCACGATATAAGGTAATTTGCTTTCCATCACTTTGTGAGTCTGCAATTGGCATGATGATTGACGAATTATCACCGGCGGTGAAGTCAGAAATATTTTTGTTCAAACTTGAAAGAAGTAAAAAAAAAATTCTGACAAAGGATGTTCAATATATGTCATATATCTTTAAAACCTAATATTTTGCCTATATATACATTATAATTTTCCGACGAAGAATGGTCAATTTGACCAGAGTGTAGCTTCGCCCATGACTATCACAACTTAACTTGGAAGTGAAGCAATGTTTTCTAAGACTTCATGATGTAGGACATACATTAACTTTATCCAAAATCAGCACCTCATATATAATTGAAAAATCAATGCATATATTGTGAAATGGTCCTTATGGATAGGTTAAAATAGTTCTTTAAATATACTATTTGAGGAATTTTGGTTCTTTAAATTTGTCAAAAATGCACGCTCAGTGAAATATTTAATAAACTCTGTCAAAAATGCTACTTTTGGTCTATTTTTCATTACAGTTTCTACTCTTTTTTATTTTTTATTTTTTATCATTACTGATGTCTGGTGTAGTTTTTGGTGTTGTGGCTATGAGACTTGACTGGACTTTCCGAATGTTTTTAGTTAAATCCTTTTTTTTTTTAACCGTACCACTTAAATCTACAGGCCAAAAGTTGTTATAGGAATTTTTATGTTGTATAGCCGCTCCTCCCCTCCTAAATAACAGCCGGAAAATGTATTCTATTTATATGTTACTATATAATACACATATTTTATATATACAATATATTTGACTAGCGACTGTAACTATTTTTGGCAGACCAGCAGCCAAATATGCTAAAAGCCCTCGAAAATTATCAAGAAAACTTACAAATTCAGCTTTAGGTGCGACAACCATGAAGACATAAAAGGGAAGAACTGATACTGATCCCAAAGGGAATGCAGTAGCAGCAATTTCAGAACTTGAAAACCCTGCAAAAGAAGAGCACAAACACTTAATTTCCCCAAATATCTGATAATATACATGCTAGCAAATGGCTTCTACATTGATTCAAAATGTTAAGAAATGCATAGAATACTTCTTTTCTTTTTCTTTTTTTCCTTTGTGTTGATAACTGTGATGTCCGGGCTGTGTGTGGGGTATATGTTACCTCACACTAGTGTAGGTACCAAATAAAGTAACTCTGTCCACAAAGGTTTGGATAAATAAATATATATATATATATATATAACTCACAATATTGAATTTGGCACCATAAATTAGATTTTTGGCTGATTTTAGCTTATAAGCACTTTTGGAATCTTCAAAACGAGTAGATAACCTAAGAAATAGCTCATCTATGTGCAAATTTGAGGAAAATATTCTTGAAGCAAGTAACTCAGCTAGCTGGTATTCAACATTCTTAATTAGCAATCTAGATTGCTGCAATACTTTTACTACTTTTTTCGACATGTTCTTTAAAAATCTAAGATCATCGTAGACCTCCCGCAAATACTCCTTCGCTAAGTAGGGGTAAGATCTGCGTACACACTCCCCTCCCGACATTCACATATGGGAATATAGTGGGTATGTTGTTGTTGTTTATATTATTCAGCACTAGTTTAAACTAATTTTTTAATTAATTAGCACACATTTAAAAGTATGGAGCATGATATGTGGAGGAAGATGATTACATGAAGCAGACACCGTTGAGCTCTTTCTTTGCAGAAGATTTCTTGTAACATTTGGACGAATAACGATTCTTGATCCTCCCAGAAAACTCCAACCAGTGCTTAACTTGGTTCCCAATCCCTCAACTTGTTGATTTGAAAGTTCAGATTTCACTGGTCCAAGAGCAAAAGGTGCAGCATTGTTCCTCTTTGTATACATGTTTGATGTCAATGCAGAAGCCCTGCAGTTCGTCTGCGACTAGTAGTACATAATCATTTTAGAATTAATTTTTGTCCAAAAAAAAAAGTGAATTGAAAATCTCACCCAAACATTCGACTCTTGATAAATTATAAGAAACACACCTTGGATGAAATGAAAAGGTGGCAGAAACAAGAAGAAGAAGAGATGGCCATGACCAAGAATGCGGAGAAAATCAACAACGAGAATTATAATAAGGTAGCACTCTCATTTACTAGGGATACTGGAGGAGGGATGGCCCATGGGCCCAACACTGAATTACAAAAATAATTTCCTTAATTTTATTTCTCTAGTTATTTTGTAAAGATTATTTATATTTATTTAAATAATATATTTAAAGATAAAAAATATATATGGATCTGTATTTAATAAAAATATTGTTTTTTCGAGTTAACCATCTGATTTAAACTTATTTTGTTGGAATTAAAGATCAGCGAAAAGATATAAAAAGGTTTCAAATATTTCATTAGATTGCTTCTTTTTTGTTTTTTATGTTTGTTTTTCCCTCATATTCTAATTTAAAATTTACAATAATTTTTTTTAGCAAAATAATAAGTAGGCTTGTTGGTAACACAAAAAAATTCATAGGCAACACATATTGATAATTTCTTAGTGAGTTAAATGTAAAAGAAAAAAAGACCCTAATTTATTTAAACCTCATCAATTTGTGAATAGCTAAAGAATTCGCACTTTTTCCGTTGATAATTCATTTGCTTATAGTTTTAAATAAGATGAGATGTCCTCTTCTAGCATAAGAAAAGTGTTACATTAAAAGTGGACCTGAAAATATAAAAACAAATATTTCTAAAAGAATACCAGCTCTTTTTAGAGACTTTTCTTATTAAGTGTTTGAATTAAAGACAATTATTTGAGCAATTGCACCTTAAAATGTTTACTTGACCTTCAAAATAATCATGAAGATAGTAAAGTTATTATAGTTTGAATAGTAATATCGTGAGTTCTAATTTGAATCCATGTTATTTTTTAATCAGATTACTCTTTTCTTATATAATATATATTTCAAAAACATAAATTACTAATAATATTCTATTTTCATTTTCCTTTTTCACATGAATTATCGTCATTGGATTTTCTTTTTTTCCTTTTCCTAATATTGCAGTACTATGCTATTTTACAAATTTTAGTATATTCTCTATTATTATTACTCCATTATTTTGTGTTTCCAATTAAATGAAAGGTTGAAATATAACTGTGTTGCAATGTCACCAAAAGGAAAAACTCAAGCACAAATATAATAAGGTGGACCTTTGTGAAAACCAACAAGGAACCTTTGGGTGGAAATGACACCAAGTAGTCACTTTTAAGCATGTTGTTTAAAATATATCCACAGTTTACAATGTATTTAAAGATTAGCCAATTCGTTTAAGCTTCAGGACATCGCCTAAAGTTTAAGAATTGTGTCCAGAAGTTTGAATCTTATGTCCTGAATTTAAAATTGGCGGTTCATAAATTCAGGACACTTAGTCCTGAATTTCAAATTAGCAGCTCAAAAATTCAGGACACTAAGTCCTGACGTCCAAATTCAAATTTGGATGAATTGGCTAATCTTTAAATACATTATAAATTGTAAATATATTTTAAACAACGGGCTTAAAAATGGCTACCGGTGCACTTTGCGCAACCTTTGGTAACTGAAAAAAAGATAAGAACTGTTTGATAAAGCTATCGATTTATTTTCAATTTAACTTTAAAAACTATTATTTTTTCACTGTTTGATAAAGTTATTGATTTATTTTCAATTTAACTTAAAAACTATTATTTTTTCAAAAACTCATTTTTCTGAAGTAAAAGAAATTTTTTGAATGCAAGATAAAAGTTGTGCCTAGTGTATAAAAGACAACTTTTACTGAATAAATACTTTTTTCATCAAATACACAATTATTGCTCGTCAGTTTCTACTTAATGGAGTTGATCTTGATCACTTATTTTGGAATATATGAATGCTAAATTGGTAATGCAACAAACCTTGTAAAAGAAGCACCCTAACTAAATTCCCTAACTAACAAAATTTTTCATAATAATCGATAGAAACATATTCTTCCGAAGATTTAATAGTAGAGTATCTATTTTTGGAGGTCTTCATGTAGTAAATTAATTACAGCAGCCAACCACGCATGGTCCTGTACTATTTTATGAATAAAACAAATGAGCGTCCACTACACAATCATCAACTAGGGCAGATTTAGGGGGCGTAAGGGTGTTCACCTGAACACTCTTCGCCGAAAAATTACACTGTATATACAAGGCAAAATCTGTTTTTTATCTCTATATATTAAGTTTTGAACACTTTTAACACAATCCAAAAATGTAGTTTAGTGGTCAAGGGGGTTCAAATTCTACATAAAGTCATGGGTTCAATTTCCACTAGCTACAAAAGAAATTTTGAACCCCCTTCGTGGAGATCCTGCCTCCGCCACTAATCATCAATATATTCGTCGGGCCCAACGTGAACAAAATTATACTATTCTAATTATGCTCTTTCTCATTGATATGTTACCCAAAAACGTATAGATTTGCAGCGACACTTGCTGATATAAATATGTGTACTATTAAAAAAAATGATAAACTATTACGTCAAATGAGTCGTTGCAACACTGAAATTTGACTCAAAATTCAAAAGTACTCTTTGACCACTAAATGAGCTAAAAAAAAAGAATTCAAGCAAAGAAAGTTCTGTAGTAGTTAGAAAGACTCATATAAAATTCATATGATCACTATCATAATAATTATGTAAAAAGCAAGTTGACTTCCTAAGCGATTTAACTTTAGCTTCACGAAACTATTAGATGAAAATCGAGAGTTTGCACCTAAATATATTCAATGAAGATATGATATTTCACACATATTAGAATCCGCAGTCTCAAGTTGGAAGTGGGGAGTGTTTATCACTCCTGCAACCCTCTCTTATCTACGCCCTTACTATCTATTTACAATAAACAATGGGCGTGTAGTCTCATTTGACACAATTTAGACTTCTCGAAAGTAGCAAACTGGCAAAGGGTGCATAAAATTATAAATATATGATAGCATTAATTATTTTTTCTTTCCAAAAGGATGGAAAAATTAGTGTTGTTCGATTTTTGACTCCATGGAAAGCATCAATTTACTCCATGCAATAGCATTGTCAGGATCATATTGTTAATGCCCATTCTATATTCCGCAAAATAACCAAATTCTCTTTTTAGTTTTATAGGGAGCTTCATTTTTTCTCTCAAGGCACTTGAAAGTCTTGTACAGATGAGCAATCCTGATATAGACACTGCAAACGAACAAAATTTGACTGTGTATCAGAGACATCCAAAAAGACAATGGGATACACGACCAAAGAACTCATCACAACTTTCAAAATGAAAACTGAATAGACAAACACAAATATTTACTTAAAACACAATAAAAAATCCACAACACAATAGACAAATAAAAATTATTTCAAAGCACTCCAGATCATTGTCACGACCCGGATTTTTCACCCTCGGGAGTCGTGATGGCGCCTACTAATGAGAGCTAGGCAAGCCAATCTTTTAACTACTTTCTTCATTATCAAATTATTTCCTTTTAGCAAACATAAAGCGATAATGTAATAACAACAGAAATTTAATTTTAAGCAGAAGAACACAACGAAATAGCTGAACTCTGTATCTATTACAACTGTTTAAACCTCAATTACCCAAAACCTGGTGTCACAGTGTCACAGACGGTCTAGGATTAACTACAAACATGGTCTGAAGAAAAAAAACAATACACTGTTTCGGAATATAAAGAAAATGAAACAGAAAATAGGGATAGAGGGAGACGCCAGGGCCTGCGGACGCCTGCAGGTCTACCTTGGATCTCCGGGTAGACTGAAGGTAGTCTCCAAGCTATGGTCCAAGAGCTGCTCCGAGATCTGCACATAGTGTAGAGTATAGCATCAGCACAACCGACCCCATGTGCTTGTAAGTGTCTAGCCTAACCTCGGTGAAGTAGTGATAAGGCTAGGACCAGACTAACAAATAAACTTGTGCAGTCATATAATATACAGCGAAAAGTAAAGCAGAATAAACAAATAAATATGAGAAGGGGAAACATGCTTCGGGGAATAACAGGTAAAATAGAATATCAAGAGAATTATAGGGAACCAAAATCCAACTACTAAGAAAGATAAGGAAAACAAAGGCAGATTTCACTTTCAGTTCACATCTTGTTGCAGGCGTGCAACCCGTTCCCATTTCTCATATCTTGTGGCAGGCGTGCCACCCGTTCCTATTTCATTTATCTCGTGGTAGACGTTCCACCCGCTCCCATTTCATGTATCTTGTGGTAGGCGTACCACCTGCTCCCATTTCATGTATCTTGTGGTAGGCGTACCACCTGCTCCCATTTCATGTATCTTGTGGTAGGCATACTACCCGCTCCCATTTCATTAACTCTTGTGGTAGGCGTACCAATCGCTCCCATTTTATTATATCTTGTGGTAGGCGTACCACCCGCTCTCATTTCATTATATCTTGTGGTAGGCATACCACCCGCTCCCATTTCATTAACTCTTGTGGTAGGCGTACCACCCGCTCCCATTTACAAGCCAACAATAATCACAAGGAATCTTGACAAGGGAACAAAAGCAACATAATAACTTTCGGGCAAGGGAACAATGATATTTCAATAACATCCTTGTAAGGGAATAATACTATCAAACAAACATCCCAGGGAACATTAATATCAAAATAAACATCCTGGCAAGGGAATGAAGATAATAGCATATGAGGCACAATAAACCACAATGGAGTCATAACAATTTATAACACAAGACTCACGGCCATGATTGACACCGACATATAGATACTCGTCACCATGTCTATACGTCGTACTCCACAATTAACACGTAGAAAATAGACACAACTCCTAGTCCCTCAAGCTAAGGTTAGACCAAACACCTACCTCGATGCCACGAACACAATTCACGTTTCAATTATAGCTTTACCCCTTGATT